AATAGTGGGTGACCCAAAGGGTCACGGGTAGTCTAGTATATATATAAAAACAGGTGAGATATTAGCATAAATATTTACTTAAAATCGTGTTTAAATAACAATCTGATTACTTTTTCATTCTCAAAATGTCTTTACTTTGACTGCCTGTATTTTACAATCAACACTGTTCAATAATGCGTAACATATCTGTCATTTTAAAATGTTCTACACATTTTGTTTTTGGAACAACTACACATCATTCATTGCACCTTTCAGCTACCACCATGACCTTCTATTTAAATCTGAGTAACTAAAAACACTTGTTTCCCCCAGCTAGAGAAACTTCCTACACTATTCTCTCTCCAAGGAATCATTAAGTAAAAATAAAAGAAAATGCAAAATCTAAACATGTTTAGCAGTTCTGTATTTATGACTTACACATAGTAAAAATAATTATATTTAACATAACCAAGCTACATTCTGTTTTTCTTTTGTAGATAAAAGAGACAAAAAATACCTTGGCATATATTCTAAATCTTCTGTACATTTTAATCATTTTTAATATATATTTTATGTTTACAGTGAAGATAATCTGTATTAAAGAATCGCTCTTATTTTCAAATAGAGACAAAGAAAGTCATATTTATGACGACCCAATGGAGATCCGCATGGATGACTTTCTGGAAGATGGCAATGCTGAAACACATCTTTAGGCATCTTTCCCGTTTTGAACAAGACCTCTTCCTAACGAACGTTCAACAATAAATAAGATACTTATTTAAAAAAATAGAATGCCTAGTACACGAAGTGAACAGTTATTGTTAAAGAAATGAGAGATGAAAATAAAAATACTAATTTACTTTCGATAGAAGTATCTAACCACTTATAACAATTACACTTTATTTGGGTTTGTTTTAATCGAAAATAAAAATATTTACTTTAAATTAGAAACAGTTTTCTAAACAACACGCTTTAATATAAAAGGCAATGATAAATACTACTTAAGTAATAATATTAAGAATAATGGCAGTCGACGGCAAAAGTACTTTACATTTTCTCTGTTTTTTTTATAGATTTGTAATTAGATGCATCTGGCTGTTAATCTATAGATTTGTAATTAGATGCATCTGGCTGTTAATCTATAGATTTGTAATTAGATGCATCTGGCTGTTGATCTATAGATTTGTAATTAAATGCATTTGGCTGTTGATCTATAGATTTGTAATTAGATGTATCTGGCTGTTAATCTATAGATTTGTAATTAGATGCATCTGGGTGTTGATCTATAGATTTGTAATTAGATGCATCTGGGTGTTGATCTATAGATTTGTAATTAGATGCATCTGGCTGTTAGTCTATAGATTTGTAATTAGATGCATCTGACTGGTGATCTATAGATTTGTAATTAGATGCATCTGGGTGTTGATCTATAGATTTGTAATTAGATGCATCTGGCTGTTAATCTATAGATTTGTAATTAGATGTATCTGGCTGTTAATCTATAGATTTGTAATTAAATGCATCTGGTTGTTGATCTATAGATTTGTAATTAGATGCATCTGGCTGTTAATCTATAGATTTGTAATTAGATGCATCTGGCTGTTAATCTATAGATTTGTAATAAGATGCATCTGACTGGTGATCTATATATTTGTAATTAGATGCATCTGGCTGTTGATCTATAGATTTGTAATTAGATTCTTCTTTATATTAATAAAAAATTAAGGAAAGAATCGATGTTTATAAAAATGCTCAAAACGAACCATAATCAATCTTACATTTATGGTAGGTACTAACTCCATTCACAAGGCGGTTATAATCGACCGGTAATTCATGTGTTAAAATTCATTTGTAGCAGGCCCGGCATGGCCAGGTGGTTAGGGCACTCGATTCGCAATCTGCAGGTCGCGGGTTCGAATCCCCGTCA